TTTTCTTCATTACCCATTCAAGCCGTCTCCAGCCATAACTATGATTATAATTGTCCGAAAGGAACGGTTAGTACAAAAAGACGAAAAGTTAGTACAAAACTACACTGATTCATATATATACATGTATTGAACCTGTTACACAGGTATAACATGCTAAACTAATATATAACACTATGAAAAAAAAAACGTGGATACAATGTACCCATGCTGCTAATCGAAACACCGTAATTACACGTGTAAAGAATCTGCAATTGTGTGTAATAATAAGACCATTTACTTTCTAAAAATTCACTCCATGTGCCGGATTTGACAAATAAAGTTTAATTTTGTATTTACTTTGGCCTAATACGTGTTAGTTTATACAAAGCTTTTGGACAGTTTCAGCGTGGTATGATTTTCTTTATCATTACTAAGTTTCCAAGAAATGTTCATTGAAAAAGTGGTTTTAAGGTTAAGTAACTCTTCCACTCCCCAAGAGGAGGAGTGTTTTGTTGACGAAAGGTTAGCGCGTGTTGAACCTAAAATTTCACGAACAAGGAAAACTTAACATATGTGAATAATGCTTGTTAACAAACAACCGCGAGTTCTAGAAGATGAAAGCCAAACTTGCGTAATTAGCAAATACACTAGACATGTAGTGCACTCGTGTGAGGAGGATGTACTAGGGAGGGAAAAGGTTGTCCTTCTTTCATATAAAGGTAGATTCTGGTCAAGTTGATTAGAAGACAGATCCAGTCATGAAGGTTCAGACTCTCCTTAGAACAACGGCTGTTTTAATATTTCTTGTTTCAGTAACAGCTAGTAACGTCAAAACCTCATCAGCAGCGGAAAAACGATGTATTACTGGAACAACGGGTGAGCGTTTCAGATTAAACCGTTTCTGTTGAGTTACTTATTAGTGTTTTTAAATGTAGTGTATTAATTGTTTAGTGACTTGTTAACACTTAGAAAGTAAGAAAACAGTCTTGCTTACCTTTATTGGAAGTTTTATTTATCAGTTTTAAACAATATTTTTACATTGAGAAGGTAGGTCACACTATTCTGGAGGATTATGGTCGATACAAAAATATATTTTTTGTTAATTTCTGCTTAACACGAAATGATTGTTGAAATAATTATCAAAATAAAGTTTTCAGTGTTGAATGGTACTCAGATTTTAGTGGTAGAAACAAAAATACAGAACAAAGTGCCATGTTGCAATCTAAAATAAATACCACTTTCGATGACGAGGAACCAACTTTGAGACTAATAATGCTTGGAGACGGCTTGAATGGGTAATAAAGAAAAACTTTAATATAGGTTTAACATAACAGCAAATGTACAACATTTCGACAAGGTTTTGTCATCATTAGGTACAAGTAGTTTACACTGACACACACACACACACACATATATATATATATATATATATATATATATA